TTGTTCCTCAAACTTGATTTTGATTTCTATCTTGTTATACAATTTGTTCCTATTTGTCTAGCTATGGTGAATTCAACTGTACCTGTATACCCTAACACTTCTTCTATTGGAACTTCGTATAATCTTGACCTTTCGAATCATTTTTTCATACATTCTTCTGATATTCTTGGAACGCGTCTAGTCAGTACTCCTTTTTCTGGGTCTGGTTATGGGGGATGGAAGAGAAGCATGATAGTGTCTCTATCTGCCAAAAATAAAATTGCCTTTTGTTGATGGCTCTTGTCCTAGATCTACTGCTAATGACAACCTTGCAAAATTACGATAGTGGGATAGGTGCAATAATATGGTAATCTCATGGTTAACCAGTTCACTCTCACCAGTTATTGCTGAGAGTGTCCAGTACTCAGAAACTGCTGAGAGTATCTAGAAACAACTGGAACGTAGATATGAGGCTGTAAATGGGACTAAGGTTTTTGAAATTAAAAAGGAATTAGCCTCAACTCAGCAAAGGTCACTTGACATTGCTTCATATTTTAATAAATTGAAGAAACTTTGGGATGAGTTGGGTACTATGCATAAAAATTATGGTAATTCATATACTTGTGCTGCAAAGCCTGGTATTCAAAAAGATGAGGATGAGGATAAGCTACATCAGTTTCTTATGGGTTTGAATGAAGTTTATGTGGGGGCTAGGAGTAATTTGTTGATGATGCAACATCCTCTTTCACTTGATAGTGCATATAATATACTTCTTCAAGATGAGAATCAAAGACATGTTTATTTCACTCCTCAACTAACTCCAGAGTCTGTTTCCTTTTCTGCCAATATGAATAGTAAGGCATTTCCCCCAAAACAGTACAATCAGAAGATTGACTTTGGTCAGTCCAGGACTAATGTTTTCTGTAAGTATTGTAAGAAATCAGGTCACACAATTGACAAATGTTATAAACTCTATGGGTTTCCCCATAATTTCAAATTTAATAAAGAAAAGAGGGTAGCTACTAATATGTCCACTGAGATTGGGCGTGCATATCCTGGTCAGAAGTATTTCTCCGCAGTTCTGTGATGGTGCTCCTGGTAATGGTAATGGTACTCCTTGTCCACTCTGTGATGATCAAGCTTCATCCATTCTTGGTTTAACCAAACAACAATATTCACAACTCATGACATTGCTGCAGCAGACTCAAATTGGTTCTGATTCTGATTCTCAGTCCAACCTGATGGCTTCTGCCAACTTTGTTGGTAGTGTTTTATCTCTGCATATTTATTTTGATAGTGAGTCTCATGCTTGTTTGTTGTCTGGGGCTGGTAGAAGTGTAGGACTATAGATAGTGGAGCTACGGATCACATGACCTCTAATAAGGATATCCTCTTTAACATCACACCACTAGCTACTCCTTACTTAGTAACTTTACCTAATGGATATAAGGCAAAAGTTATTTCTATTGGATCTATTACTTTGTCTCCTTCTTTGACTCTTCATCAAGTACTATACATTCCATCATTTCACTATAATCTGATTTTTGTACACAAATTAATTCAACAACTTAAATGCCTAATCTTGTTCGCCTCTTCTTCATGCATTCTTATACAGGACCTTTCCATGAGGAAGCTTCTGGAACTTGGTAAATTGTACCAAGGATTTACAAGCTTCTTCATGAGCATCACTCTACTCCTGGTTCTGGATTCAATGTTTCTGTTTTCAATAAGAATGTACAGCCTAAGAGTGTTTCTGATGTTTCCTTTAACAAAGTTGTACAAAATAAAAGTGCTTTGAACTCTATTCCTTTAGTTCCTTCAAATGATGTACATAATATAAATAAGCATGATGTATTGTGGCACCATAGGCTGGGACATATTCCTTTTGCTAAAACGAAGCTTATTACTTCTATATATGTTGATTTGTCTTCTAAACAATCTTTTGTATGTCATGTTTGTCCATTAGCAAGGCAAAATAGATTGCCTTTTTTTCATAGCACTTCTATGTCTAATTTTTTATTTGAATTGATTCATGTTGATATTTGGGGATCTTATCACACACACACACATATTCTAGAGATAGATATTTTCTTACCATTGTGGATGATCATAGTAGGCAACTTGGACCCATTTAATGCAATCTAAAAGCAATGCATTTTCCTTGTTGAAATCCTTCATATCTATGATTAAAACACAATTCAATCTTCCTGTTAAAACTGCCAGAAGTGACAATGCTCTAGAAATAGGTCTCTCCAATTCTGCCTTACAATACTTCTCTGATAATGGCATTATCCACCAAACTTCTTATCCACATACACCCCAACAAAATGGTATTGTTGAGAGAAAATACAAAACATCTACTAGAAACAGCTAGAGCATTATTATTTTAATCAAAACTCCCAACAAAATTCTGGGGAGATTACATTTTAACTGCCACATACTTAATAAATAGATTCCCATCAAGTGTTTTACACAATAAAACCCCTTTTAAAGTTTTATATGGTAAATTACCTTCCTATACTCATTTGAAACCTTTTGGTTTCTATGCTATGCTACTATCTTCAAGTGTAACAGAGACAAACTAAATCCTAGAGCAGGTCCTTGTGTGCTTGTTGGTTATCCATTTGGTAAGAAAGGGTATAAGTTGTACAATCTGTCCACCAGAAATGTGTTTGTATCCAGAGATGAGGTCTTCCACGAGTCAGTTTTTCCATTCCTTTTGTCTTCTCCTTCCCCTAGCTCTTCAGTTCCTTCTGTTCCTAGTGATGGCTATTATCCTTTTCAATCTGAAACTTCTACTTCTTCTTTTCCTTGTTATGTCCTTTCTTCACCTATTGTATCTCCTGATCCACATGTTTCATCTTTTGATCCACCAGTCATTCCTTCTATTTCCGTACCTTCTAATTCCTATTTGTTCCTCCTCCTTATGTTAGAAGGAGTAGCAGGACTCATACACTACCTTATCATCTTAATGATTTTATTACACAACTTTCTCCTTCCTTTTGCAGCTCTACTTCCACATAACTTACTGTTGCCCAACCAGCAGCAACTGAGCCTCATTCTTATATTCAGGCATCTGCCAGCCCTGTTTGGCAAGAGGCTATGAAGAAAGATTTTGATCTTTTGAAAGCTAATAAGACCTGGACAATAGTTGAATTGCCTAAAGGCAAGAAGCCAATAGGTTGCAAATGGGTATATAAAATAAAACATAAAGTTGATGGTAGTGTAGAGAGGTATAAGACTAGATTGGTGGTACGGGGTGATACACAAATTGAGGGAATTGATTTTCATGAAATCTTTTCCCATGTTGTCAAGATATGCACTATCCGGTGTCTTGTGGCCTTTGCTATCAAGAAAGGTTGCTCTCTCTTTCAATTAAATATTAACAATGCATTCCTCCATGGCGACTTAGATGAGGAGGTTTATATGAAGTTACCTCCAGGTCTTACTATTACTTCCACTGTTCAGCACACTTCTACTTTGGTTTGCAAGCTCCAAAAATCTCTTTATGGTTTAAGGCAAGTATCTCGTCAGTGGCATGCCAAGTTATCCAATGCTCTTTGCTCTAGGGGTTATATTTCTTCACTAAATGACTATTCTCTTTTCATTAAGAAATCTGCCACTTCCCTTGTTTTTCTTGCTATGTATGTGGGTGATATTATTTTTACGGGTGATGACCTTAATGAAATTTCTGCCCTTAAGGAGTTTCTAAACAACCAATTTAAGATCAAAGATTTGGGTTTACTCAACTATTTTCTAGGCATTGAAGTCTTCTATGTTGACTCTGGGGTTATTCTTCATCAACGAAAGTTCATTGCTGATTTGCTTCATGAATTTGATTGTGATTCTGTTTCAGTTGTGGTTTCTCCTCTTGAATTGGGTGTAAATCTGAAATCTGATGATGGAGAGTTGTTGCTTAGGCCTGACACTTATAGAAGTTTAGTTGGTAAGCTTAATTTTCTCACCCACACTAGGCCTGATTTGTGTTTTGTTGTTCAACACGTAAGCCAGTTTCTCAAGTGCCCTAGGGTGCCTTATATGAATGTTGCACTTCACATCTTGAGATATTTGAAAGGCACTCCTGATTTTGCGGTTTCTATCAATAAGTCCCCTGATTTTTCCATACTTGCCTACTGTGACAGTGATTGGGCTGCGTATTCTAGGTCTTGCAGTTCTATTTCTGGTTTTTGCATATCTCTAGGTGGGAGCTTAATAAGTTGGAAGTCTAAGAAACAGATTGTTGTTTCATTATCCTCTACTGAGGCTGAATATCCGGCAATGAGTAAGGTTGTAGCTGAATTAGTTTGGTTGGTTCGTTTACTCACTGATTTGGGACTTCCTGTTGTGTCCTCTGTTCCTGTCTATTGTGATAATCTGGTTGCCCTACATATTGCGAAAAATCCCGTGTTTCACGAACGTACTAAACACATTGGGGTGGATTGCTATTTCATACGAACAAGAAATAAGAGATAGGAGTTGCCCTACATATTGCTACATATTGCTATTTATATTGATCCGGTTAGGTTTGATAGGAGTTTACGATTTTGCCCTCTATATATATGTACTTCAGAAGTTTCTAAGTTAGTTTTTGTTGAAAGAAATAAGAGAAGTCTGATATTTTCTCTCTCCTATCTCTCACCTCAAGTAATAACCCTACCTAAATTTCATTGCTTTCTCATTCAATTTACAATGTTATCAGGGACACTACAAACAAAAATAAAGTACAATAAAATAATGAAGGTAAGTCATGGAAAGATGTGAAAGCCGAGAACAAATAAAAGCGCTTTTGATCATTTTCACCATTTCTTTTAGTTATCTTTTTATAATTTGCATTTTTTTTCATTTTGGTGTTTAGTAAATGAAAGAACGGTGTTGGAGATATCGAATAATATATGCATAGCAATTTTTCGGAAAGTGACACCAAAAATGTCATTGGACGTGTTAGGATTTGAGTCGATCAATTAGCCCGTTGATTGCATGGATCGTTTCACTTTCTTTCTAAAAAAATAAAAATGCATATTATTTTGTATTGCTCATCTCAAAATTTTGAGATGTGAGAAGAAATTAAAAGGATTATAAAATTAACAACAAGAATAGAAGTATTATTCACAGCAGAAGAAAACAACTTAATTAACAACCATTGTACATCAAACGAGGATATGGAATTAGGGTCACTTCTTTGAAGCATGCTCTCTTGCTTTTTGCTCGAAAAGGCTTCCATCATAGACAGCTCTTACGGTTTCTTTCGTCAGTATGCCATCCTTATTTTTGCCTAAATCATATAAAGAATTCCAATCTACAGAAGCATTTGCCCTACACACAAAATTCAGTTTTTATAAGTAAACATAAGAAAAACAACCTCATTAATAAAGGAAATAGGGATAATTGCACTTTTGCTCCATCGATTGTTGATAAATTCTAATGTTAGTGTTTTTGATATCTCACTATTAATCAATATATATATTCTTTGTCTCTTTATACATAGGAAGTACGTTATATTTAGATTATTACTTTTAGATTACATTACCCTCGAATATGAAGTAACAATACAAATTTAACATAATAACACAGAGTAACTAATGTGGTTTAGTAGTCAGCTAACAATACATTAAAATTGTGAAGATTCACAAGCAAAATGATCAAAGATGCATATTTCAATTAATTTGCAAGTGAAATGTGCTAAACTATATATCACAATGACTGAAATCAGAATTTGTCAATATTTTAGAGTCTAAAAATACAAATTTTCCAAGGAAACAATAGAAGGTAATGGTAAGTATTCCTTCATCATTAATAAGAGGTCTCGGATTCGAACCCTTGGGTATGGAGCCACCTTTATTAGGGAGCATTTTATCTCCCAATGAAGGACTTTCCGGCGTGAATCGGATTTAGTCGGGCCCTAATATGGGTACCGGACACCAGGGTGGGAAACCAAAAAAAAAAAAAAAGCTAAGTGACAATAATAACAAACAGGGAAAGAGGGGATAGAGAGGATACCATCCGAAGTAGTCCTTTGGTTCTCTTTTAGCCTTGAGAAGTTCTTTCACTTCGTTGTGTGTTAAGGATTCTGCATTTTGATTTGCATGCTGCTTAAAGATCTCCTCAAATTTCTCTGGCACAAACCTTCAACAGTTCCATAAAAGTAAGTCAAATCTTAACACATATAATTCATACAAGTGTACTACTCGAATCTAGAATTTCTAAAACATGAGTGCAACCACTAAAGAAAGGAGGAAAAATATTATTGAGTCAGAAATTAATCAATGTTCCATTGGATAAATAACTCAATATTCAACCAAGTGCATCATTCAGCCTTTATGAAGCATGGGTGTCAACCGATAATATTAGACTAATTCTAAAAGATACATGCATAAAATACCTAGTTTGACAATAATACCATGGGTTCACACGTGTCCCATAACCTACCCTATAAATTCACCCCTGCTAATGTGCATAGTCAGTGGCAGATGGAGTGCGCATACTATGGGTTCAATCGTACTCAATATTTTTTTTACAAGAAGCATAGATATAAAATGAGAAATTTCTAAGATTTCTACAATATTGAATTTTGAACCACCAATAATTCAAAATTATAAATAAATTCCAATTTAAAAAATTCTAAAAGTTGAAACCATCAAATTTAAATCCAAAATCCGCTTATGTGTATAGTGTGACTTAGGATATAGCTAACCAGAATTTATTTATAAGGTAGTCAAGAAATTTACCTCCCTTCAGAGTCATAGGCACCAGAATCACTGCCATGTATGGCATATTTGATATTTTTTACCACAATGGGGAAGAACAGAGACGGGCATTTTCCCTATGTGATACAAAAAGCATGCACAACAAATCAATTTCCAGCCATCAGTAGAAACTCTTTGAAACAAGACAAATTAATTGCTTTCTTGCTTGTGAAAAAGCAGCATTAAACATCATAATCTACGTGCTTGCAAAAAGATTGTGCTTGATAAATTTCCTTCGAGTTTATGAGAACATATTTTCTTTTTAATTTGTTCCAAAAAGAATGATTATATTCATTCCAAAAAGATTGACTCCTTTCTAATTTAGAAATAATTTAACTTCAACTTTCAATTCTATTATCAATGAGAAGCTTTTATAGACTCATAAATATTTTGGTATATTTCACACCACAAGTTTCAAAAGAATTATAACCACACAAATATTATGTTTATCTAGAACCACAAATTTTAAAAGTTTTATTTCTTTCTTAAATTTCGTGCCAAATCAAATAGGTTCATATAAATTGGAGAAAAGGGAGTATGAAATTTCTCAAAATTATATTTTATGTCCTATTAAACCATATATAGAGAAAAAGATGTACCAAATTAAAACCACTAATATGGAAATAAAGTTGTGCATTTAAAAAAAAAATAGAGCATTTTGAATTACCGGTCGGGTCTTGTGACTGAGAGTAATATGAATGAGGACTGCAGCAAACATAGATCGGAAAATACCACGCCCCATCTTTCTAAAAGCTGATAATATATCCGAAAATAGTTAGGACAAATTCATGAAAGACAAAAGTATATTAAAAAAAACATTTAGGAAATAAGAAAAACCTTGGAAGGTTCCTGAAGGATAAATTATTCCATCATTATTGATATCAAAGAACATGACATGCTTTTCCAAATGAGTTAGACCATGATTATTTTCCATCATTCCTGCACGGATGCAGATAAATTAATAGGACAAAAGACTAGAAACTAAAATCATAAAGACTGCATAAATGATAAATTTATCGTATATCATCGTTAAGAAGTCATTAACTAACGTATCAAATTCTTGTAATCAAGTGAACTTCATATTTCTCGTAGTTGTCAATTGCAGAGATTAAGTATACTATGCCAAATGCCAATTTAATATCAAGAAAGATGAATATGCAACTGTACAGGTTTTTGTGCTTTTTATCCTAGCTCGACACCAAAAATTTAACAGATTACTCAATTTTGTAGAATACAATGAAAGGATACTTCTTTTCATCATTTTGCAATACATTTTGATCTAAAAAACAAACTTACTAATTGACGAAGTATTTGATTATCATAAGGGGATGTAATACAAGCTTTTGTAGGGGCACATGAATTGGACTCATAACATGAATTTAGAACTATGAAATTTATTTCAGACTGTTGAACAAGATAAGAACTCAAAAATTGTTATTCAGTTTATCATATTGTAACTTTGATACAACAGAACATTTGTGTGTGTCAGAGAGAGAGAGACAGAGAAAGAGAGAGAGAGAGGCTGCATACCTGAAGAACGAATCCGCTAAATGAGTTAATTGAAAGTCAATACGTAATTTGATCTCAAGAAAGTTTGAATACCGTCATGAATTCCTCCAAAGTATTTGCCATTTATACCCAAATTTTATCGTTGTTAGAGATGATGTTATGCTGCAGTTTCTACGTGAGGCCGTGTACGCAATATTAAAAGTGTTTTTTAAGCTAGCGTTTCGACATAAATTTGGTTAAAATTTGAAGAAAAAAAAGAGTTTTTGAAGTTGTATTGAAAATAATTTTTGGAAGTTGAAGTTATGTTTGGACATGTATTTTATTTGAAAAAAAAAGTTAAAGTTTTGTGAGTGAAAGAAAAAATATCACCAAAAAACTACCGTAAACCAGTTTTTGGGAATTTAAAAAAAACAATTTTTTTTTCAAAAATTAATCATATTTATGAACAAAAGATTTTTTCAATAACGTTTTTTTAAAAAAAGGTAGCCAAAATCAATGGTCAAACTGGAACTTAATAATCACTCTACTATGACCTTTTTTATTCTCAATGACCAAAGCCGAAAATTTTGGGGACAAATGTATAATTAAAGCTACCGTTCAACCAAACAATTAACTTTGGTTTAGAGTTTGTACATATATTAAAAATTTATAAAATATATACAAATAATAAATCTTAAACCTAGTCATTCAAATAATTAATGAGTTCAGTAACATTCCGAACTCATTAAATTTAAATTTTGGATCCATCTAGCTATATATGTAGCAGATGAGTTATGTGTTGTCCGAAAGTATTAAATTGAAGTTGAAAATGAAGCTAAGAGGCGCAACGTCTATTGACAAAATTACATATTCAAATACTCCCTCAGTTTCATATTATCGATCGTGGTTATGAAAAATAGTTATCTCAAATTATTTGTCATTTTAGAAGTTTAAGACAAAATTGATTATTTTTTTCCTTTTTACCCTTAGTAATAATTATCTTGAAAATTACAAGCACTTAACTTTGTTCAAATACCAATGAAAAAAAATTAAATATTAAGATATGAATAAGGATAAAATAGTAAATATTTTATCTTAATTAATTTTTTTTAATGAACGTGTACAATAGAATCATGATAGATAATATGAGACGAAGAGTATATTAAATCAATCACAATTGTATAGGCAATTAATATGGGAGAGAAGTAAGAGAAAGCAATGATCAAATTGCATCTATTGAACTCTAAAACTGAAGGAGACAAGGTCACATGTTCTGCCAGCGCAAAGTGGGTTTTAAGGTTGTTATGGAAGTTATGACAATTAAACCATTGAAACTAAAAGAAAAATATTGTTGTAGAACTATTATAGACCCCTATGACATATTGCTATGGTAGATTTTATTCCAATTTTTATTGAGTAAATACTACTCCCTTTGTTTAAATAATGAATATTGTATTATTTGGAGAGTTAAACAAGGTTTTCTTTAATTTATATTGTTTTGCAAATAGTTTTAAAATATTTTGAATTGTTAACTATTGTGACTTATAGTATTTTTTATGTAGTTTCTAAATATATAAATTTTATTTCAAAATTTAAAGAATCAATATTTGAGTTTACATCGAAAATCAATTGGATCTTTGTACTCCGAAAAGATTCAAACAAATTGAAACTGATCCGGGAGCAATGATCTGTTTTAGATTTGTGATTCTATTTCCTCCTTAGTTCGTTTCAAAGAGAAGATGTTATCAAACCAATTTATGTTGCATATTTTTCTTTTTAATCTATCCCAAAGAGAATATCATACTTTCTTATTTAAAAATTATTTAATTGTACACCTTTTATTTTTATTCCTAATGAAAAAGTTTATGACCATACAAATATTTCTGACTTGTTAAATTTAAACCATAAGTTTAAGATTTTTCTCTTTTTTAAATTGAGAAGGGCGTGTTTCTACATTTGAACATAATTTAATTTTAAATTTTTTGTTTACCTTTAATTAAAAAATTTATAGCCACATAACAATTATGATATATTTAAAATCATACGTTTTAAGTCTTATAGCCACATACCAATATTATGATGCTTTTAAGATCATAAATTTTAAAAGTTCTCTTCTGAAATTTTTGTCTAATTAAATTATATCACATAAATTGAAAGGGAAAAAGTATATTTTATTGTACATAAATAAGTTGGAGAAAAGAGTTCTGAAAGAAAGGAAGGAAGAGTGCCTCGTCATCCACAATCCTTTTGATTCATTAATCGAAGGAATTTGCAGGAGACATCTGTACCTTTCTTTCTTACTATTTAGTATTTTTAAGCTACCACTCTATTCTAAACTCATGATATTTCATATTTTTAGATGATTTAATTTTAAACTTTTTAATTTAATTTTAATGAGTTAATTTATTTTTACCCAAATTAATGACTTTGTTCTAGATTATAGAATTTAATAATCTCCATATATATATACACTATTAAAAGCACGAAGCTCATATCGAAATATTGTTCACTTTTTTTACCCTTTAAAAATAAATTTTATATTGGACAAAATTGTAATTTAAGTTAATTTTTTAATATTTAGGACTTTAGAATCAATTAATTTTCTTTATTTTTTTTAATTATGACTAAATATGGAGTTAAAGTTATAGTTGTATAGCAATTGATTACTTCAACTTATAAACGCTAACTTCTTCCACCAACAATTCTTAAGGACATCGCCTAATATTCGATTTCTACTATAATGATGAAGTACTTATCGTGAAAATGGTAATAACAATTAAAATTGATTTTGTGGTTCTAAAAAAACGTGATCTATTTTTATGCTAGTTGTTAGGCAATGGATATTAAGTAAAAAATTAGAAAGCAAGATTGTAGCTTGAAAAACGAAGTAATAACCAAACCGAATGGTTGAAAATCTGGGCCTCGAGCCGGCGTATATAGGGCCTCGAGGTCGAGTCAGATGGCCGGCTTAGAGCGATCGGGGAGGAATAACAGTTATGAGAGCTACGATGATGGCTCTTTATTATCAATGATAAGCGATAAATGGGGAACAATAAATAGAACACAATGAATACAGGCAATAAATGGAAGTAATGAGATCAAGAGAATATGTTAGAGAGCAGAGAGAATGTTCTTGTATGCCTAATATTGAGCATCTGATCCCTTACAAAATGACAAGGATCCCCTTTATATATGAGGGGGTATCTCAACATAGTACAAATGCATTTATTACAAAGATAAGAGGATGGTACAACCATTTAATGTCATGGTACGGGTTTGGACTAGCCTAATAGGCTTTGTCAGCTCTAGTCACGTTCCTTGGGAACCTCACACTGATCCACCGACGCCACTGATTTACTCTGCCTCGAGGTCGATCGTTGCTTACGCTACCTCGAAGTAGATTACTGAAAACCCTCGAGGCCAGAGCCCCGAGCTAAGCTTCGAGCCTTCGGGGGCAGTTTCCTCGAGGTGCCTTGGTGACCGTAAAATCGAACCGCTGATTTTTGCCGTATACAAATAGTCCCCGTATTTCCTAGAATAAAATGATAGGAAACGGTTTTGAACTCCTGCTCCTTAGGTGCTATCATCATGATGTCAGCCTATCATAGTATTAAATGCCATAACCCAAAGTCGCGCAAGGGTCGCTGTTAGCACGACTGTCGAGAAGCCCACGAACCGTTTTTGGTTCGATTTTTCCGCTGCCCATACGGCTCCTATAAATACCCCAATTGTTTAATGACCCACACTTTTGTGATCCCTTCAAACTTTCAGAGCCAAATACATCTTCCTCTACGCCCCCCCTTTCTTTTGTTCTTGGTTTCCTGCTTCCCTTCTCGAGAAAAAGAAAATTTTTGGTTGCCAGGGCTAGAACCTCCAAGGCAGTGCCTCAGAAAGATGAGGTTACCTCTTCATCTTGAACATCCAAGAATAAATCCAAGGGTAACCCCAAAGTGGCTCCTACCGCCGAACAGTGTACACCCACCGGGTTAAATAGCATGAAGGATTTTTCCATCGAGAGACCTTCATCTACATCGGGTCGATGCGAGCATGTGTCCCGATTCATCAGCATTATGAAAGATATAGACAAAGTTCAGGCGGACTGCCAATGGGATAAAAAGTTGCTGGTCGAGATTCCTAGCCCTAAAGAGAGCATAACAGACTATAAGGTCGACTTTCTTTATGTGTACACATACCCATTCACCTTGGGCCCTGTCAACTCCTCCGACCCTTCTTCTCCGGCTATAGACCCGGTCATTCTCGATTTCTGTTGTAAGTACTGGGTGACAATTGGCCAGATTTACCCCTCTTTCTGGAGGATAGTTTACATGCTTCGTTACTTTTTCAGCAAAGTCAAGAGTACGACTTCTACCCTTGATCATCTGATCAGACTGTACAACCCCCATCTTTTTTTAGGCTTGATCAAGCTTCACCCTTGATCTCTGAAACCCTTTTTCTCAAGTATCGACGAACATAAGGATCAGGGTGGATGGGCCGGTTTGTCCGAGTAAGGACCTCAGACATTATTCCGGCTAAGTGGATGTCGTTCCCGGAGGAGTGGAACATGAAGCGTAAGTGCCTCTTCTTTGAGTATGCTTTATTGTATTCTTACTTTCTTCTCAAGAAGCTAACTTTCCCTTTGCTCACGCAGCCATCCTTTGGTATCCCGAATCTGTTCCGGACCTATTGGGGTGGATTAGGGGATTAAATTCCTCGTTCCCCTTTCCCGAGCGTTCTTGGCCTAAGTTGGCTAAAGCACGGTGGGTGGCCAAGAATCATGGTAAACTCCTTCTTGCTGCTTCTATCATGTTTTATATTTCTTCCCTATATCCTCTGTGCTAATAAACTTTGATTACTATGCTCGCGCAGGTCTTGGTGATGGAGTGCAGATGAGACCGCCTTCTGCCGGCGAGGGAGGGTCCTCTAAGCTTGATAAGGGTAAAAAGAGGAAAAAGGAGACGTCTGTCGATTCCCCCGTATCAAAGAAGCCCAAGTCTCGTAGGACTCGAGCTGAGGCCGAGGTCTCGTCGTCAGGTTTCGGAGCGGTTCCGATGACGAGGATGAGGATGAGGATGATGACGATATCCCTTTGGTACAAAGGAAGAGGTCGGGCACGAATGCCCCCCAAGTGTCAGTGCCGATGGCCGCCGTTGGGAA